AGAATGTCACTACTGAAAGGCAGAAGAAAAACTGGTAACTTGTAGGGAGATGTTTTTAGAAAAAAGCTGGGATTGTGTGTTTGTGTATGTGTGTAAGTACATGCATGCGCACACAGGTGGGGAGAAATTTTGTGTCTTAATAAATGCTTTATGAACTCCTGTGTGGTATTTTCATTTCTCATAAGTGAGCTGTGATTAAATATTCAAGATGTAATGATTTACCTGAGAAGCAATGCCCAGGAACAGATGGATACAGTAACTTACTGGTAAGAAGGCATGGAAAACAGGAAATTCTAGCAGTGGGATTTGAGGAAGGACTGAAAATAAAAGGGCTTGGAGTTTCTGAAGAGTTATGAAAGCACAGCAAAAGACTATCATAAAAATTTTTTTAAATATCCATTCTTTGAGCAGATCCAGCTTAAGGATACCAAGCAATAGCTTCTCATAAATAGTGTATGAAAAAAGCAGACTCAAGGAATTTCTAGAAACCCAGCCAGGACACCATGGAACAGAGACTCTGTGAAGACAGGAATTTTTGTCTGTTTTGTTTACTGCTGTATCCCTAGTCCTTGACTCGTGATAAGTATTCAACTATTCGTTGAATGAAACAGTGAATATAACAACTTTGAGTTATGGTTAATAAGGAAAAGTTTGTCTCACAACCAGATTTTACCTAAAGAGTCGGGGAAAAACAAGGATTTTGCTTTTCTGTAACTAAGTCAATTGAGAAAAACTCAGCTTTGACAGAGAGTAAAAGGGTAAGGCCAGTGAATATACTGGGGCAGGAGTAGCAAGTGTGAATGCCTATAGAATCCAGGTGGATTAGAGGCTAATGAAGTAAGCCAGTGAGCAAATCAGAGCTCACACTCCATCTAAAGGGGCAGCCTCTGTTCAGCTCCAGCCAACTTTTGCTCTGTCAAAATAACAGTCCAGTATGACCAAAGCTTACAATTTTAAGAGAAATCAGAAAATTCAGATTTGCAATATTTAAGTATTGGTAACTTATCATAAAGCCCATTTAAAAAAAACACTCAGGGTCAAAGAAGACACACCTGCAGTCCACTCGTGAGCCACAGGCTTCCAGTTTTTAATCTGTTCTGGAAAACTGAGAACAGCAGGAGCTGACCTACTAGAGGATATCAAAGAATGCCTAAAAGATGGCAGTGGCTCAGACGAAGTGGCTCCACACGCTGCTCTCTTGAACTATGTATAAAACTTGTCGGTACATAACTGTGAAAAAAAAAATGCCTCCCTCCTATCATAAAATAGCCCAAATCAATAGGAAGAAAACAAATGAGGAACCATTTGTGGCTGTTAAGATAAGTATCCTTAAGGGTTTATTCGACTACCCAGCAGCTCTCCAATGGTTCCTTCCTCTCAAAGAGACATACAATTTTTTGGCAAGGATCCAAGCTGTTCTCATTTCTACTTTACATAATTGATGGCCCATTTCACCCCAAATCAGCTGCTCTTCCTGCTATGCCTACATTTTTCCCTCTCCAGCCCCAAAGCTCTTTTCCTAATGCAGTGTAAGATACATGAAGTTTCTAAAACATGGAATAAAGCTTTTCCATACTTTCTATAAAATATGGAAGTAAAGTCCTCCCACCCCACCCCAAAATAACAAAAAAGGTGTACCACCATTAGTTATCAAGTATATTCAACTTAAAAATCACAACTTAGATACCACACACCCACCACAAAGGCTAACCTTAAACAGCAAATACCTAGTGCTGTCAAAGTAGAGCAACTGGAAACCATACAGCACTCAACGCATATATTGGAACAATCTCTTCAGAAAAATACTTAGCAGTCTCTACTAAGCTGGCTACCCTATGTCCCAGAAACTCCACTCCCAGGTATACACCAAGAGAAATAAGGGCAAATGTCTGTCCACTGAGACACAAACCAGAGTAGCAGCCCTAATCTAACAGCCCCAAAGTGGAAGCTACCCCAATGTTCATCAAGAGACAAATGTTAATACAGTGGAATGCTCTGAGAATAAGTCACCTCCAGTTACATGCTACCATATGTATTAATTTCAATGTTGAATGAAAGTGAGGAAAATAATATATTCTATATGACTCTATTAATATAAATATTGAACAGAGGCATAACTAATGTTAAATCAAAATACTGGTTATCCTTGGAGAGCAATAATGATTAGAAGGGGACAGAGCGGGCTTTTGGGATGTTGATAACATCCTTTTTCTTAATTTGGATGCTGTTTGACTGAGTATTCACCTTATAAAACTTTGACTTAAACTTTGTGTACATTATTCAAACTCTGTGTACACTATTTTATATGTTAAAAAAACTAAGACAACAGAAAAGACAGGACTTAAGCTAAAGTACTACCATTTCTTAAATCCGGAATGGTCCCTGCCCGCTTTTAGCTACAATTAACTGCTATGCATTTACCTATCACAATTCCTTCCTAGATATTCCAATTGTGCTTGGTGTTTTCTCCTGCTGTTTAAGAAAAGTGTGATCAATTTCTAAAATTTTAGCTATTGACAAAGATAAATCTGACAGTTTAAAAGTTCTTTATATCTGTGTAAACATTTCATCAAAACTCCCTACATTTCTATGTAATAGTTAATTAGAACCAGAAACACTTCTATGTGTGTGTGCCCAGATGTGTACTTCTCAACATTCAAAAAGCCTACCTCAATTAGTCTACAGCAAAACCAGTTTGATTTACCCTAAAGCTACCAATGAATATTCAGCTGTCGTGCTAAAATCATATTAAAAATTAACTTTGCCAGGCCGCTATTGTGTAGGTTGTTCATGAAGTCTGGACATAGATTCAGTTTTATAGATTAAAGGTGTCCTTAACTTACATTAGGTTTATTAGTCTAGACAGTGTCTACAGACGCTGGAAATACAGCAGGGAACAAACAAGACTGCCTACTCTCAAGCTTATATTCTGATACCTTGAATATAAAAACTACAAAATATATTCGAGTCAACTTTGTTTCTCCATTTCAATAAATTCTTAAAATGTTTTTATGGGTAGTACAGAAAGCATCAGCATACTGATAAATGACACAGTAACCACATTATTCCAGTAATATTAACCCAGAGTTGTACTAAAAGGGTGTACTTACTGTATAATTAGAATAACTTGATGGGTAAAATTCAGGGGCGTTCACAGATAGCTTAGACATTAATACAGGAGCTACAACCACCTGGGGTTTAGCCATTGCTGACTCCGAGTTCTGCCGTGGGATGTTATCCTGTGAACTAGGTGGAGCTCTCAGGGGCCGCGTTTGTTCTGAGAAAGGGGGGAAAAGCCGTGTTACATGCGTTCATTCCTTTGTATAACAACTTACTATGTACTGAAAAGCCATCTGAGCAGGGCTGGCTTTTAAGTTAAACAAGAACCATCAGGAAATTTAAGGTTATCGCCAGGATATGAACAGAGAGCCTGCAGAAAGAAACAATAGACTTGCTTTAGCCCCTTTATGAACATATTTGGCTCCTAAATGAATGCTTGAGGGCTTTATTTTCCCTTTTTTCTTTCTTTTTTAAGGAGTCGGTTAGAAAGAGGTGGTTGCCCGCCTAAGGCCTCCCTTTCGGGGGCTGGGGCGGGGGAGGCGATTATTACTTCCTCCCGGGACTGCAGAACTCGGAGACCGCGCACCGCGCCCCTCCCCCAGCCGGGAAGCACAAAGGATTTCGGCGGCCACCTTCCAAACCCCGTTCCGGGCCCGTCCCCACCCCGTCACAACCGGATCCCTCGGGGAATGCTTTCGGGGAACCGGGGAGGGAAGGAGGAGACAGCGCGCCGACCTGGGGCGTGCGCGGAGGGCCGTGGGGAAGCGTTGGCCCAGGAGGACGGGGTCCCCTAGAGCGGCTCCGTACCTGGGAGCGCCCCGGGCCGGGGAGGCCGCTGGGGGCCGGCGGGGACCTCGCACTGGGCCCCTGGCGGCGGGGCCGTCCTGGGCTGGCGCAGCGGCGGCGGCTGCAGGAAGCCCGGGGCT